TAGTGGCTGGCAGGCAGTGCGTTGCAACTCTCAGAAGGTATTCAGTTTTTTCGTGGTAAGTGACGAATTATGAATTCTTGAATTTGCAGCGTTCTGATCGTTTGGGTGCAGAGTACACGCCAAACTCGTGCAGCAGAAGCGTCGTGTTGATCACTATCAAAGAATGCACACCGTGTACCGGAAGGATCTTGTGGATGAACCAAGCATTATCTTAGAACAAACGGTGCTTCTAATAAGCCCGCTTTTACAGAATCGAAAATTCTCTTAAATCGGATAGAGGTTTACCTCAATGTTTTTGAGGAATATATTCCCTTACACCAGAGATATGCAACGTGTCCATAGTACGGTTGAAGAATCAAACAAAGTTGAACGTCGACTGTTCAACACAGAACTAACCTTTCCTCTGAAAGCTACTGCCTAATATAAATTGTATCAATTTTACTCTCTGAATTTTGAGGACGCCTTTATGCTTGAGCTTCAGGCTGATCATCGCACAATCATAACTTGATAAAGTGATCATTCCACACATGAATCAGCAATCAGCAAAATGGATGCACCTTATAACAAACCAAAAGTAACATCGATCAGTCGGTTTCAACCCCGAGTCTTCAGCCGGCCGTCAAGCGGGTCTTGCTCACGGTATCTCTTGTATGGAAACGAATCCACTCCAGATGATGAGCGATGCTGGTAAATGTTACTGGACAAACAAGTTCACCAGGGATATTCACTTCATAGATCATTATGCCACGCAAGAAACGTCTGCCATCATTTAGACGGCAATGAAACGGCCCGCCAATGTCCCCCTGAAAAGTAAAATATTACAAGCATCATGCATCAGAAACCTTGTTCTTCGTGGGCCTTCGAACCACCAACACATTAATTCAGTTCTCTGACCATGAGGCGTACAAAATCAGATATTTACCAGCAATGCTGTGATTGCTGCTGATGGTTTGACCGAATCTATGGAAGAATTATGAGCAGGTCACATGTTCAGTCTTGGTCCAGTACCCAACCGTTGACCACTTACATGTTGGTCGAAGACCATAGAGGAAATCTGAAATTTTGTGATACGCGCGTTTCCTTAATCTGGAATGCAACTCTTTATTGCAATGATCACCTTGGATCGTTTCATCATCAGAATTTTTCCAGCTGACCTACTCCAGTCACAAATATTTAGCACTGTTGCCATGTGCTAATGATTGGAGGCAAAGTTCATACCTGAACTCAGATTTCACTCAGTCATATTAGGCACGATGTATGATGATGTCAATTCTGCATCGAAACTCGCTGTGTTTTTTGCTGTTGAAGGATACCAGGATTGTAGATTTCTCTCTTTCTACACTGATCCCTAATACGAAGTGAATATTCCATTATCAGCTCAAATTCCTAACAGGCAACCAAGAGCACGCGAAACACTTGATCATCATATATAAATTATAAGTAAAACTGACTGAAACTTTCACTGGCCATAAAGGAGATGGTCACATGGTTTTGGAGAGATTACATGGTTTTGAGTTCAGTGCAGTTGTCCCTTGTAAGGGCCATTTGACGAATTACCTCATCATAAATTTTGATTTCTGAGAGTCAAGGAAAAGTCCGGCTGTCACAAGTGTGTTGCACAAGAGACCTAACATATCTTATTAGTCAGCAATATAACGTTATATCACTATTGTATTGAGCAGATTTCTCTGAATTGTTTGCTTAATGGCGAAAAGGGTCTGCAGAACAAGATTAAAACTGATTGCAATGATTAACAAGCAGTTTCTGAAGGATTCTTACCATTTAGAACGAAAATTATAACAAAGAGAACATAATGTGTTCTACATAAAATTCTTTGATTGCGAACCGTAGGAAATTGAAGAATTTACTAAGCTTTGTTTAATGCTGTCTAACATTCATAATGGATATTTGTGCAGTTCTTCAAAGTGGGTATTTACTACTCGATGGTTTTAGAAAAAGAAAGCCGGTAGAAAATGCTAAGCTTCTATCGACTCATAAGTAAATGAACTTAACATTTCCTTGTTTCGTTGTAACTAATATGCTGTATTTCGACGAAGAAATCTGAATCTTGTAAAAGAGGTAAAACGGCACATGTTACAATGTCATATGTTACACTTTGTGTAATAAGGTATATTAATTTTCCTGACATTGTTCAGTTCTTCAAAGTTGATTTCGAAATAACTTTCTTCGACCAGTGCGTCCTTCTTACATCTGACTCATATTTGTGGTTCCTTTTTGCGACAAGGTCGACAAATTTCATATCATCACATTTAAGGACAAGAGGTTCATTGAACTTTACACTGAACTTGCACTTACATGGCAGATCAGCTTCTCCTTTTGAACGTTTCCAGCACAAACCGTTCCTTTTGGGATAATCGGCTTCATTTCGCTCTTTCCAGAGCCAGTACAATCACTGCAATCAGCAATTGGCAAATCGGCGCTTCGCAGGTGGTTTGGAAAATGCTCTTGAGGAGATGCTAAAATTTTTGATCACTAAATTCATAATTCACCTCACTGCACATGGATTACCAGGTGTTCTAAGGTATTCTATAATGAAATCAGACAGTTTATAAAGATATCATCAACAGCGAGGCTTGGTCGCCTTCATGCAGATGATCAAACCCTAAGTGCTAATCTTTTGTCCCTAAGTGTCTATCAAATACCTTCAGGACAGGTAACGCCAATCAATACCTAATTGCTCCTCAATCGTGCCTAATCGTACACCAATCAATACCTAATTGCTCCTCGATCCTCAATCGTATTAACTGATCTTCAGAATCCGTCGTAACCAACGCCGATGGAAGCTGTGCAATCGGTGTTCGTGTGCTTGGGTCTCAAACAGCATAACTTGTCTAGATGAGGTCTCTTTATTTCGTCAAAAATTCGTACTGATTCGATGCCAACAAAAATATCTTGTAATAAATAGCAAGTTGTTCCATTGAGGGACCACCAAGCACGATGAAGACTCAAACTCAAAAGACTTAATTTG